CATCTTTATAACAGAGGAATAAAAAAAAAACCAAACCCACAATGAAAACCTACTTTCCCTAAGAAAGAGGAACCGCTGAAGGAGAAGGGCCAGGCAGGCACAAATAAGTGAACTGAATGTGTTTGCCCAGTCATTCAGAGAACAGACTTGCTGCTAAATGTTCCATCTCAATTCTTGGCTGGTGTACAACAAGACCATACTAAGGGCAAGGAAATCATACATAGCACATTGGAACACTTTGCTTCAGGAAGTCTAATTTTGATTAAGTTATTACAGACAAAATCTCTCCAAGCAAATGGAGGTTTTCACACATCAACATCCTTACAAAAGCAGCATTCATCCAAATTTATATATCATTGTATGCAAACTCAGTCTTTTTGGATCAGTACGATTTCTTCACCCTTTACTCTCTATTGCCTACATTTATAAATCCAATACCAGGTCATGCTAATATGAAATAAGAATGCTGGAAAATAATGTTCACCATGACATTTTTATTCCAGAGCTCACTTACCCTGGCAGAACTGTAAAACTAATTGTGTAAACTCTCTACAGTAACATGCTTCCAACTCTGCCACCTCTGTCATGTTTTTCTCTCTTCTTAAATGTCAGTTCCTGTCTAGTCTGCAGCAAAGTATTCTAAACAGATCCTACGTTTCTCACTGAAGAGCTCCAGTGACTCACTCCTGCTATCTGCCAAGCTGGGGAGCTCTCAAATCCATTACCTCCCAGTTGCCCCCTGCTCATACACTGGCACAGAACTGCAAAAGGAGAGAAAGCTTCTTGCATGACTGGCAGCTCATCTGATCAGGGTTGAGGCAAAGGGCCTGTGAAGGAAAATAGTCTTGCTAGCATACATAGTTTTATTTTGGGACCTGTAAGGAAGCCTTAGTGCTTTGTCCTGGTGGGTAATTTCTCCATCAGATGGAATAGAGCTCATGAGGGTGGCCGGTCTAGCATGGAGATGTGTAGCCATTTAGGACAGTAATTAGCCATAAGTGATACACAAACAAGAAAGAAAAAGCTAAGTAATTTAACTAAAAGCTGAGTGTTTGGAAAAAAAGTAGGAGTATTTTCAATATTTAAACAGCATTTATTTACTTCTGCCATAAAGAAATGCACGTAGACCACTGCTTCTTGCCTTAGATAAATGAGTGAAGAAGGAGGCAAACTCATGCCCAAGGGAGTACAGCTCTCACACGCACCAGGAACCCTAAAGGTTTTTCCCAGCATGTCTTATTTTTATTTATTTATTTTTTATTTACAAGCAGACCTGACTTTCAGTAAGGAAACTAGAAGCACTAATCATCCATTACTTCTCTAAGCCAGAGATAATGGCAAACACCTGTAAACCTGCAGTGGGAAAGCACCAGTCACAATTCAATAACTGGAAATTAAGCTGCAAGACATGACATAGCATCAGGGTTACTCTGTGTAACTGGTGTTCTCAACTTAGCTTCCCCTGCCAAGAGAGCCTCAAACAAATAACGCGAGACAGTACAAAGTGGACTGTTGCTAATATTTGTAACTGTCCCTTAGAAGTACCTGTAAGGGGTCACTGGTACAAACAGCTTAGGTTCAAAGTTCTTCCTGCTTAAGGTTTTATCATTTGCTTCACACATTTTTTAAAATTTATTTAATGCTTTTTGGGTTCCCTCTGAGAGTGTGTATGAATTGCAAAAGAGTTCTGAAAGGAAAACTGGAAAGGAAAACTGATCACAAAGTTTTGTCATGTGGCAGACTCATCAGTAAGATGGGTCTCTCGATTTGTACCTCAGTACCCTCCTTCCTGTGAATTTTAAACCAGAATGAAAGAAACAGGTCCACAACTTGGCTGCAGGAGGTACAAGTAATTTCCCTTTCTTTCAGTTTCCTACCTTTATGAGAAAAATGGTATCTGTCGCCCTTTGAAAAATGGACTGCAACCACGGAAAAGCAAAGCACTGTTAGTGTTCATCTGTATTGTAAGACCTAGAGACTTCAAACATAGATGTAGAGATACACATTCTCTATAAGCACATTACAACTAGCATGCTCTGCTCCCAAACCTCTGAAATACAAGTTTTATCATGTTTGCTCCACAGATGGGGAACTGAGCCATCTCAGAACAGAGTTTAAAAAACCTGATGTATTCCACAGTACAGGATCTGGTCTACCCCTCTCTTCTCTACCATGTGCCTCAAGACAAACTGAACTCAGAGAGTAACACTGGAAATGAAGGAAAACTATTTTGTTGCCCAGTTCTGCTGCAATCTTCTTCTATGCTGCTACTGCTAACAAAAAAGAAATAAAGTCGTACAAGACCCAGATAACACCAAACAGCAAAGTCATGAGAATTCAAAAGCAATTCAAGGAAACATTACAGAAAAGGAAGAGCACAATTAAATGTGGCTTTGGGGACAAAAGCAGTGTTCTGTGAATGCTGAAAAAATATGTGCAAAATTCAGTGAGTATTTTGAATGCACAAGGAGAGAACATTTCCACTTTCACGTGGTGATGAGCTAAGCATATGGTTATACAGAAGAATTAACTCCTTCAAAGACAGATTACTTGCCTTCAACAGTCCATTCAAGGATGCAGATAACACCTGCCTGGCTTCAAGAGACCAGGATTTTAAAAAGCATGCATAACCTGATATAAGGTGTGTCATCCAACAGTGATTACTGAAAAAAAATGAAGACTTAAGCTTAATTTGTCAAAAGCACACTTCACAATTTTTCTGCCTCAACCATAACTCAGTATTTTTTTTGAACAGGAGTCAAGAAGCAACTTTCAAACCTGAAGGGATTTTGAAATAATGCTAGATGACCACCTCAGTTTTGGGATCCCATCTCCAACTCAGTTAATGTTAAAATTGCCTCCTAACTAAGCCTGCAGACTCAACCTGGGAGGGCTAGCGAACAATTATCATTATTGTATTATATTATACAGATCAGCGATTTCTGCAACTCAGTTAAGTCAGTGTGCTCCATGTGGCCGCATTTTTTCCGTATGAAACTTGTTCCATTTATAACTAAGCTGAACCATTAAATAACTACTAGACTTACTGACAAAATCACAGTTATTAATTGATGTCCTTACAACTGACTCAACAGCCTAAAATCCAACCAGAGTACACTAGACTTTTTTCCACAGCGAAGGCTACTGCAGAGTGGCATAAGAGCAGGAAGGAGTTGCTACTCCTCCTGTAAGAACCTATTTCCTCCTCATATATCCTTAGGAGGAGATGCCTCACTTCAGTCCCTCTCTGCTACATGCCGTCTGTGGGACAATGCTTCTTCAGCAGCAGAAGGTGTAGCAAGCAACCGAGTTACAAACCATCTTCTAGGTAGACACAAGAGAGCTGAGGATGCCAGATGTCTCCTGACTTAGTTCTCATTCATTGCTTGTTTTATTAGGAGGGGGATTCAGCCTTCACATTATTGACTCTCAGAATAGTACAAGTGCCATGCCTACTTAAGTAGCAATTGATTTTTTTTCTCCTATTTGTATTTCACTTCCCTCCTCTATTTTTTTTATCTGTATATAATTTGTGTCTTTTCCATCTTCATTGCATTACTAGCACTCTTTTTAGAAAGAAACTCAATACAATGCATACTCAGGATGTGCTCTTTCATGGAAAATGAAGGACCAGAGCCAGGTGTCACACCATTTTAGAGCATTGCCATGAATCTGTGGGAACAGGGTTTGCAAGCAGCACGGCTGACTGAGGAAACGGCATGCAGCCACTGGGACTTACTTGCTCTTGACTTGTCTTTGCCCATGAACTTAGGAAGACGGTATCTCGAAATCCTCTGGCTGTTCATGGGCCTTTGTTTATTCTAGCCTTCCTTCATGAAGTGGTCCTTTTGTCAGTGATATTTCTGATGGTGGGGGTGAAGGAAGTGTGTAGGAGAACAAAGAGGAAAACCTTTTTTCGGTTAGTGAGGCATATTTGCCTCTTTATATGTTTGTTTCCATCTAATCACATGTATAAATTACTTCTCTTAAAAAGCTTAAAAGTAGTTTTATTTGAGAGTAGGGACAGGAAGAGAGACTAACACAATAAACAGAGGGCAGAAAAGTAATTGTGTACTTATTGATTCATCCTTCAGGGAAAGGGTAGTCTTAGTAAGACAAAAAAGTAGGAGTCAAGGGATACAGATTCTGCCCCTTGTTCTAATATGGGGCTCCTGCATGACTAGAAAAGTCACCCCACCTCATCTCTGAAATAACATTACTATTTATCAGTGGTGTCTACCAAAAAGAATGTGGAAAATTTTTTTCATTTTTTTTGCAAATCATGTTGTGATATCTGGATGGAAATGCTAGACAAGTGCAGTGTTATTACTCTAATATTACCTACCTTTTAGGGAACTTACTACTGCGCTTAAGGTTAGGAAGGGAATAGAAACCTTGCCTTTGGTAGTTTCTGAAGGCATGATATCACTTCTGCCTCATAACGATTTTTTCCAGGATAGAAAAAGTAGTCCCATTTATTTCACCTTCCCTTTTTTTTTAAGCTTCAGTACTTTTTTTTTATTATTATTTTTTCTGTCAGATATTTAGCTATTCACCATCTTTGCAGTTTACAACAGTGGCCTGCCCTGAACAAACATTATAAAATTTCTGAATAAGTGCACTGTATTCTGAATAAAAACTTTTCATTATTATTATCATTACTATACTAGTTTTCTGTGTTGGCAACAGGAATAAGAAAGAGGACATCTGTGTAAGTGAGACAAAAGCGGGGAAAAAGCACAATGTGAAATATAGCTAAGTGGGAGTAAGAAACTTAAATCAGAGTGGACAGATTTAAACCTAACACTGAGACTCTATTTCAGGCAGGCAGTCTCTGCATATATCATCATGCCAATTATGCCTTCGGGAACACACACAGCACGTCATACTAGGGATGGAAAGGCTTTACAGACTCACGAATGTTGGTCTATGGCATCTTGCCACTACAGAAATTGAAGACAATAACCTCATTAAAAATAATTCTCACATTCTCCTTGCAGGTTTTGTTCTGGTTATTGGATTGGTGACTTTCTACCGCATCGGACCATACACCAACCTCTCTTGGTCTTGCTACCTGAACATTGGAGCCTGTCTTTTGGCCACGCTGGCAGCTGCCATTCTCATATGGAACATCCTTCATAGGCGTGAGGACTGCATGGCGCCCCGGGTCATTGTCATTAGCCGTACCCTGACCGCTCGGTTTCGCCGTGGCCTGGAAAACGACTATGTTGAGTCACCGTGCTGAAAGAGCGGACTTGAAAGGGGAAAGATCTCCAAGGAGATATGCATTGGAGTTGTTTTCTATAAATATATACTATAATTTAAAACTAAGGGTTGAAAGACATCAGAAAGCTCACTCTTGTGGGCAGAGGCCCTCAATTATTATTTGGATGGGCTCCATCTATATACATATGTATAAAACACATAATTTTTATATATATTATATTGCCCTCTCCCTCTGCTGTACAGCAAAGAATGTTGGATTGTCAGAATCCTGACAGAGCATCACAGCTACATGTCAGCAGGGTCAGCTTTAGCAGACACAGAGCGTATGCAATGAGAACGTAGAAAAGAGGCAGCCAAACTTCTCTGTCTGCATAAAGTTATCCTGCTCCCTGATAATAATGTAAAAAGCTATAGGAGACCAGTGACAATAGCTTTGGCATTAACAGGCAATATGAGAAAGCAGAAAACTCACTATAGAATTAGTGATGATTTTAACAGCTGTTTAATTTTCATGAATCTTCAGTCCTTCCATACACCCCTCTTCAAGGAACTTCTTATTAGCTGCACCACCTGCTCCCCAGCACAGCATTGTCCAGACAGTAAAAAGCAAAAGCAACTCTGACCATTCTAATTGTGAAGTGAAGGAATGCAGAAGAATTAAGTTGCATTTTTTCAGACACTTCTTTTGTATCCTGAGACAAAGGTTTGGGCTTATCCTATATGTAAACAGACATGCCATTAAAAATGAAAAGGGTACGCAGGTAGAACAGGCCATACATGTTGCTGAAAAATCTACTTCAGTGTTACAGTGAGGGCAAATATCTACAGAAGAAGGTTACATGGACTCCCTAATAATCACAGATACTATTAATTTACACTACTGGAAATTATTATTAAGAACAGATATTTCAGCCCAAAATTTATTTTCTTCCCAACTTGCTTTAACATTTGCTGTGACATTTTCAGATTAGAGTGCTGTGTCAGGACACCCAGCTCTTCGCAGCAATGCTCAGAAGCACCTAACAGTGAACACTGGAGAATGTAACTGCTGCTCAAGCACCCAAACTGGAGACTAAGACACATACACAGGACTTAAGCATGAGATTTAAAAAAAGACCTGCCTGGTAACTTAATAAGGTAGTGACATGAAAATAATTAGTACAGTTGGAATTAGATGTAATGTTTATAAGCCTGACCCTGGGAAGCACATGAGCTCACAGAACTCAGATGCACATAACTTTCAGGAAGAAAAACAACAGGTCAAAAACTATTATGCAGAAACACTTAGGATATGGGAACTAGAGGCAATGACAGATATTTAAGAACTCTAAGGATGCTACTCTGAGCACAGTTACTGATAGGTTTGAAGGACCATGAGCTGTGAATGTTACAAATTCTTTAGGACTGTTGTGTCGCTCCCAGCCGAGAACACTGCTTTTCTTCTTTATCATTATTTCCACCATACTTTCCGACACTTTGTTAAAATGTGATTATCAAGCTGGCTCTTGAGTTCTCTTCCGCACTCAGTTCTGATGTAATAAGAAACTCAACCCCAACTGCTGCTCTGCACCATGTTCAAAGTGAGCAACACTCTGCAGAGACTGATGCTCTAGAACAACTGCATTGTTCTAGACTATCAGGGTAAAATACCATAAAAATTACAAAGAGTTTCTTCTAGCAGTAGGTTTGTAAAAACCAACTAAGGTTTATATTCGTTCGCCTGCATTACTTTCTGGAAAATCTTTTCTAGAAATAATATGCTATTATTAATTGCAGGGTTTTTAAAAAATAAAATATTGGAATATTTAAAAGACATTATATTATTTCTTCTAATATTGCAATATCCATATTCTAATAATGTACATTTAAGTTTAAAAATCAGCTATGTGGTTGGTAAATTTGTAATACTCGGTATTACTGTGATTATTTTAGATGTATAAATAAAGTTGTGAATGTTCATTTTCTTCTAGTGATAACGTGAAATTTTTGCCATTCAGATATGGAATGAGGTTGCTTGTTATCAATTATTTTTTTCCCGTTTAGTAATAAAGAATGCACAGACCTTGCAACATCTCATAGACAAAGAATAAGCAAATAATACATTGAAATGTCTGTAAGATAAAGCTATTTCATCTTGTTAAAAATGAAAGGGAGAATGAAATCAGAGAGGAAAAATGTAAGGAGAATTTAGAAGGGTCAAAACTTCATACAAACTTTGAACAAAAATAAACTGTACCCATAAAGAAATAACGATACCTTTTTATCAGCTTGATGGATTTGAAGGCCTCATCCATGTCTCCAGCAGTCAGATAGAAGCTGAAGTTCAGTATGGCATCCCAGGTAGTCTTATCACAGTCTCCTAATCCAATGAAATCCCTCATGGGTCTTCTCGCAGCCATCTTAGACACCTTTATTGAGCCAGACTCTGCTTGTCCCTTCTCTGCTTCTCCTGACTAAAATGAGAATGTTATCATAGAAGTATCAAGTAGGTTGAAACTTACTCCTTCGCACATGTAATTAATTACATTATTTCCACTACAGCCCAAGTTTTCTAGTTGTGCAGGACCATGATCAATAGTGACAATAGTTGCAATGTTTCAGAATTTCCTAGAAAATGCCCCAAAATATGGAACATTGTAGAAGAGATTAGGATATCGTAATGAACATTCATAGTACCTCAAGTGATAGTTTGGAGATTGGTAAAATACCATAGGAGAGCCAGTCTCCTACTACTGTAGTCATTATTATTATTTGTTATATATTATAATTATGGCTATACTAGCAACTATTATTTTAAGCCCCCAGATTTCTGGAGATTTCAGATAAACATTTCTCTCAGGGTAGTCTCTTCTCAAAAATGAGTCTGCTGTTCTGAAAGTTAACTATATAGGCCAAATTATTTTATTCTTGCCTTCATGTGAAACTTAGGAACACTAAAGCTCAGATTCAAACCCTTCCCCATACAATTGGCAGTTCTGGAGCTTCAGTGACACTTTCACCAGTCATTGAAAAGCAGCTCAGAGCAAGTTAACCATTATTCAGAAAAATGATAAAGTAAATCATCAATATCAAACGATCTGTCTAGAGCGTAACAAGGAAACTTTCACAAGCTAAACACAGTGGAAGATCATCTGAGTCACGAAGGACCTATATACTCTACCAATATACTCACATATACTCTACCCCACTTGTATAGTTAGATGAGCTAACTAAATTTTAAGGTTTACAGAAGCCAATAGAAACCGCATTATATTACTACACAATTAAAGTATTAGATATAGTAAAAGATAAAAATCAAAAGTGCAAATGCATTTGAGAATAATTTGGGGAATTTTTGGAATGAGGACAGAAAAGACATCATAATGAATAAGGAGAAAACCTGGAATGAAACTTTGTCAAAACAGATTTGTTGCATCAACTCAATTTGCTATATTTAAAGCAGACTGTTCATATACTAAATCATGTTTCCAAAATGAATTATTATATAACAAGTAACTTACTAAGATACAGTAAGTTACTGAGGGAAGAAAAAGGAAACAGAAGAGAGAAAAGCAGAGAATGAAGAGGAGCAAAATAATGCAGATACTTACAGGTTTATAGACACAGCCCCTCCGAAAATACAACTAATGGCAGCAATAATCAAAACAGAGTTAAAAGAGGAGGGGGGGGGGGAAAAAAGACATAATATCGAAGTAAAATAGCATGAGACATGATGGGGGAAGTGTTAAAATAAATATTAGAAAATGCAGCAGATCACCTTTGACCTTTCAAATTAAGAAAAAGGAAAGTAAAATACAGTTCAACTCTAAAACCTAGATCTGCACAGGAAGAGTGACAACAGTCAGTTCTTTCGAAAGGGGCTAAATTGCAAAGTACTGCTTTAAATCAAAACATATGAAGTAGAAAAACATCTAGATACTTTCTGTTTAACACTGCTCCTAAACTACATGAAATTAGATTTACGTGATCACACTGGTCTGCCTTTTTCAGAAGTTTTAGAGGATTAGAAGTCTAATCAATATTAAGTTCCTGCAGTTTTTACAAAAGTAAGTGTCTTGGTAGAACAGACAGACTCTGTTAAGCTCCCCCTACAAGAAGGGAGCAGTGCAAATCATTATCTTAACAGGCACTAAGAAACTCAGGTCAGAGCTTAACCAGAAAACCAATCTGTAAGGTAATAGGCTTCATTTCTTCCAGTATGCATGGAATTGTGCAAGGTATTACTTACGTAAGATGCAAACAATTTTGGATTCATATTCAAGTTTAAAAAGTTAAAGCATGCATTGCTGGTATTTGTAGCATGTCGGCATTTGGTGATAGTGCAAGATGGAAATGGGTTGCTTCTGCTGAAGCTAGTAGGAAATGTCCCCTCTTATGGCCTACGTAAAGTTGACACACACATCCCCCTTACTTGCAGCAAGCACAGTGACTACATAACGTAAAAAGAGACTTTCTTGCACGTCCCTTTTTTAGTTGCATTCCCCGGTAATTACTGCACTCCTATGCTTGTACGTAACATGCAGTTTGCAACACCCATGAAAAGCCAATTGAGTACAATTTCCACAATACTGCCAAGTACATCCACATTGGAATTATCTTTATGTCATTTCTACATGTGATGCAGACATTTTGCAGACTCATTTTGGCTAAATTTGATCGTTATGCAGTGAAAAGTCTGAACTTATAGGAAGGGAATAAATTGTGAAAGATTTCCTCACCTTTTTTGCAAAGTAATAATGCGGCACCTCTATACCCAGAAGAACCTGGTAGGATGAAGGCAATGGAAAGCTGTCATGAAGCAAAAGGCCATGCTCTTCAGTACTGAAGAATGATATAATCCAAACGTCCACCTGGAAGAGGAAGCAAAGCATTGTTTTGGTTTTATGCTGCAATATCCTTCTTTCGTTTTGTTTTTATTTTCCATCTTCACCTGACAGAACCTTCTCTTGAAAATAATGTCATACACATTCACACACTTGCACCCGATGGAGAGGGCAGAGCTGCATGGTTTCCCCCTACAGTAAGCAGCCAACAATTCATCCTACATGACAGAATGTTCCTGCTGCAAAGGGACCTCCACCTCTGCCTTTCAGGGACCACCTTCACCAACCATAAAGAGGGGAGTCTCTAGCCACAGGTTGCTACTCTAAAAGTCTCTCTGACAGATCTGACTCAGGTCAAAGAAATAATCCCAACTGTTTTCAACATTTTTTTTTAAATACTGTATTATTCATATTAGAATTTCAGCAGCTCACTGACTGCTTTGACTTCCCAGGGAATATATCAGCCATTTAAAAATAGTTTCTGTAAAAGCTTAAATATTGACCTGACTCAAGTAAAAAGCAAGCATTCATTTCCAACTAAAGTTAATTGGACTTCTCATTTCTTAAAGGCTAAGCACACAGTTAAATGTTGTGTTGAATAAGGGCCAAAAAGTAAGTTGCACTCCTTTTATATATATATTTTTTTTCTATTTTAT